TTTTTGAGGCCGAGTCTTGCTCTGTCACCCAGGCTGGAGTGCAGTGGCGAGATGTCCACTCACTGCAAGCTCTGCCTCCCAGGTTCACACCATTCTCCTGCCTCAGCCTCCTGAGTAGCTGGGACTACAGGCGCCCGCCACCATGCCCGGCTAATTTTTTTTGTATTTTTAGTACAGATGGGGGTCTCACTGTGTTAGCCAGGATGGTCTTGATCTCCTGACCTTGTGATCCACCCGCCTTGGCCCCCCAAAGTGCTGGGATTACAGGCGTGAGCCACCGTGCCTGGCCGAATAATATTTCTTTGTGTGGATATACTCTATTTTGTTTATCCATTCATCAGTTGATGGGCAGTTGGGTAGTTTCCAGTTTTTGGTTATTGTGAATAGTGCTACGTGAACATTTGTTTGCAGGTTTTTGTTTGCACACCTGTTTTTAGCTCTTGTGGGAATATACTCATGAGTTGAATTACTGACTCATATGGTAATCCTATGTTTCGTGTTTTGAGGGACAGTCAAACCGTTTTCCACGGCAGCTGCACTAGTTTACATTCCCACCAATAACGCATGAGGTTCCAATTTTTTTTTTTACATCCTTGCCAATACTTCTTTTCTTTTCTTTGTTTTGTTATTTTTTAAAATTCTAGCCATCATCATTAAAGACCATAAAGGCCACTTTGATTAAGTCTCTTTGGGAGGTTTGAGGGCCATCTTCTAGTTTTTTAAGTTTCTTTCAGATGGTGGGGGCTGACTGGGAAATGAAGTGTAAATGGGTAGGTAGATTCTGCCCTCATGGGTATCAGGGCTTAAGGTGGTATAATTAGTTATGGCCCCTGAAATGAGGGAGAAGAAAAGAGCAGGATGTTCATTGGGGCCTTGTGTGATGTCTTTTATCTTTTCATAGTTTACAGCCTTAAGGGCAGCTTTATCCATGCCAGTTAGGAGGCATGATATTATATGGCTTCGTTTCTGTCTGTCTGAGGAAACTGCCTCATAATCCCAATTGGGGTCAGTTCTGGGGACAGCTAGGGTCCCTATAGGGTTATGGGCAGCACCTTGTTGGTGGAGGGTGTCTGCATAGGCTTGGGTGGCTGTCCGGATACATTCCGTGTCCTCCGGGGTGAGGGAGGAGGAGAGGATGACATAAATGTCATGCCAGGTAAGGTCATAAGATTGAGTGACATACAGAAATTCCTTGCGCGAGGAAATGGGGTCTGTGGAAAAGGAGCTGAGTCTCTTTTTAAGCTGGGAGAGGTTGGCTAAGGAGAAGGGAACATGAATTTGGACTATACCTTCGACCCTGACACCTTTCGCAAGGGAAGGACTTTGGAAAACATTTGGTTGTGGGAGTGACCTTTGGCAGAAGGGGGTTGGGTACAAGACCGGGTGTGCGGTGGAGAAGGAAGGTTGGGATGGAGGACCAGGATAAGGGGGTGGGGGAGAGGAGCCGAAGGAGAAGGAGGAGGGGATGGTGGTGGGAGGGAGACTGAGAGAGGGGGGTTTGTTGGCAGGGTTGAAATCAGAGAAGGAAGGCTTGCCTGGAGGTGTGAGGTGGTATCTCACTGTGCCTTAATTTGCATTTTCCTAATGACTAATGATGAATATTGTTTCATGTGTTTGTTGGCCATCTGTACATCCTCTTTGGAAAAATGTCGATTTAAGTTCCTTGCTCATTTTTAAATTGGGTTTTCTTTTTGTTGTTGAGCTGGAAGTGTTTGTTATAAATTCTGGATACTAGATCCTTATTGGGTATCTGATTTGCAAATATTTTCTCCCATTCTGTGGGGCTTTTTACCCTCATTTTCTTCATAGTGTTCTTTGATGCAGAAAAGTTTTTAATTTTTTTTTTTGACCTCTGAACTTTTTATTGGCCTCCTGCTCCCCAAAGGGTATCCTACTTCTGTTGGCTTAATGTCTCAGAACTTTGGTGTCATTGGTCAGACACCACTTTGCCATCCACTATCCAGCTTGTGGTGGTCTTTCAGATGGTTTGCATGGAGTTGCTGCTATCCAGGGCATCACCGAGACTGAAGTCCTCGCCATCTTCCAGCAGGCAGCAGTAGGCGGTGCTCTCAGCCTCCAGCTTGACCTTGATGTTCAGCAGGGCCTTGTACTCTTGGGCCTGGCATTGTCCCTCTGCCCAGGTCTGTGCCAGCTCTGACTCCAGGTGCAGCAGGATCCCATTGAGCTGCTCCCTCTGCAGGGCATAGCAGGCCTCCACCTCCCTCAGGCTATTCTCCAAGCTGGCCTTCAGATTTCTCATGGAAATGTTGATCTCCAAGGACTGGACTGTATGTCTCAGCTCTGTGAGCATCATCCCAGCAGCTCCAACCTCGGTGGACTGCGTGGTGACCACTGAGGTGCTCTCCTCAATCTGCTGAGACCAGTACTTGTCCAGCTCCTCTTGGTTCTTCCGAGCCAGCTCGTCATATTACGCCTGATGTCTGCCATGATCTTGTCGAGGTCCTGAGATTTGGGGGTATCTACCTCCACAGTCAACCCAGAGTTGGCAATCTGGGTTTGTAGGCCTTTTACTTCCTCTTCGTGGTTCTTCTTCATGAAGAGCAGCTCCTCCTTGAGAGCTTCGATCTCCATCTCCAGATGCAACTGAGTGACATTTGTCATCAGTGACCTTGTGGAGCCCATGGTTGTGGCTCTTCACAGTCTGGCACATGGCCAGCTCTGCCTCATACTTGACTCTAAAGTCATCAGCAGCAAGACCGGCATTGTCAATTTGCAGAACAATACAGGCATTGTCCACAGTATTTGTGAAGATCTGAGCCCTCAGGCCCTCAATGATCTTGAAGTAATGGCTCCAGTCTCTGACTTGGGGTCCCTTCTTCGACAGGTGCTCCCAGATTTTGCTCTCCAGCTTCCGGTTCTTGGTCTTCAGGCTCCTCACTCTGTCCAGGTAGGAGGCCAGGCAGTTGTTCAGGCTTTGCATTGTCTCCTTCTTGTTCTGAATGCCCCCCATTCTTGCCAGACCCCGACCACTCCCGTGGCCAGGCCCTCGGAACCCATGCCACTCAGGAAGCTGGTGGAGCGGGACACGGAGATCCGGGAACCAGAGCCCCCTGCGCCTGCATAGACAGTGGCTTTGCTGCTGACCAGCCAGGCACTGTAGCGGGGCGCCTGGACAGAGCCCAGGGACTGGTAGTTGGTGGAGAAGGTGGAGCGAGTGGTGAAGCTCATGCTGTCCAGGGAGGAGAGTGAGAGAACAGGACTGAGGCTTTGCCGATGACTTTAATTTTTTTTTTTGAGACAGGATGTTACTATGTTGCCCAGGCTGGAGGGTAGTGGTGCCATCACAGCTCACTGCAGCCTTGACCTCCTGAGATGGGTTCTTGTTACATTGCCCAGGTTGGTCTTGAACTCCTGGGCTCAAGCAGTCCTCCTGCACTGGCCTCCCAAAGTGCTGGGATTACAGACATGAGCCACTGCACCTTACCAACTATTATTTTTTTTTAATAGTGATGGGGTCTCACGATGTTGCCTCAGCTTGTCTTGAACTCATGACAAGTGATTCTCCTGCCTTGGCCTCCCAAAGTGTTGAGAATACAGGTGTGAACCACTGTGCCCAGCCTAGTTTTTAATTTTAATGAAGTCCAGTTTTTTTTTTCTTTTGCTGCTTGTGCTTTTGGTGTTATGGAATTTGAAATATTTTCACCTGGGAAAGATCGATGGATAGGGAGAAAGAAAGATCTGAGGGGAAGGGAGATGTGGATGGCTTGAGATTTCTATCTCCAATTCAACCAGAAGATTTCAGCATGTAACTGCTTTATACAAGGGTTTGCAGCTTTATGTAAGTATGACCGATAAACTAGAACTACTGAATTGTGTTTCTGAAACGTTAACCATTGAATATTAGTGGGAAATATCAGTGTGTCAGGTTGTCTTTCTAAAAGCCAGTCCTAAATGGTACATGTAGTAATTAGAAGTTAATGTTTTTTGGTTTCAATTAAGTATTATTTGTAACAAAGGGAAAGCATACATTTTTGGGGTAGCCTGCTATGTTTCTTTTGTTCCACTAGCCACACTTTTGGGAAGTCAGGATATTTGGCCCAGATCCAAACCCACTGTCTATCTGGCAGCAGCTCATCCTCACTGAAGGAATATTCCATGGAAAAGGTAGCCAACCTTATGCATATCAGCCCTGGACCAAATGCTGCATTTGCCTGAGGTCACACAGCAAGTTAACTGGGAGTTTCGACCCAGGTCTTCTCATTTTAAGTCTAAGGCTGTGTCTCTAGGCCATGTATCCAACATGAAATCAGAACTATCATCTGTTGGGCTCTATGACTGGCACTACTACTACTCACTGTTACCATTTTTTTGAGGTCTTTTACGTGCCAGGTATTGTCCTGGCAATCTAATCTTCCCAGCGACTCAGTAAATGGTTCCATAATTATCCTTATTTTACTACTGAAGAAACTGAACTCTGGTTAAGTAACTTGCCCAAAGTCACACAGACTTTAACTGTCAAGAGTTCAGACTTAACCCAGGCCTGACTCCAAAGCCTATACTCTGAATCACCAAGCGAGACCTATTTTAAAGGTGACCAGGTCCTGACATATGATCTCAGCAGGGACTCTTCTCCCAGATGACAAGTGAGCAGGTAGGTAGCTGGGTACTCCGTGTCCGCGCATGCCCAGACTCCGCCCAGCGCCCCTGCAGGCCACGCCGAGCCCCTTAACTGCGCAGGCGCTCTCACTCCGAAAGGCCGCTGGGTGCGGGGAACGCAGAGGCTGTGCCGGGCGGTCGGCTTGCCTAGGCGTGCAGTGCGCGTGCGTGGGCCTGGGAGCTGGGTCCTCTGAGTAGGTCGGAGATGGCGGCGGCCGACGGGGCTTCGCCGGAGGCGGCGGCTTTAGAGCAACCCGCGGAGCTGCCTGCCTCGGTGCGGGCGAGTGTCGAGCGGAAGAGGCAGCGGGCACTGATGCTGCGCCAGGCCCGGCTGGCTGCCCGGCCTTACCCGGCGACGGCGGCTGCGGCTACTGGAGGTTTGGGCCGCGGCCGCGCTTGCCCCTTCCCTCTCCCCGCCTCCCCGGTCCCCAGACTGGCTCGTGCGAGCCGAGTCCCGGGGCCCGGGGGTCGCGGCAACTCCGCTGGCGTCTGTGCGCAGATTCTTCCCCAGTCGTAGAGGGAATCCGCCCAGCCGCCTTGTCAGAGCGTCCTGTCCACGACCACAGAGCGTTTCGCGGTCGCACCTGGGCCTCCTGGGCCCCGGGCCTTCTTTGCTGCACCTGGGCTGCTCAGCTTCGATTTTTCGTTTAGGGCTGCAGCCGCCCTGGCTGGGAGGTGCCAGCCACTGCCAGGTGTCAGGGCCTCAGCTGTCCCAGAAAGAGGAGTTAGACTAGTTCTTGATTCTAGCCTATATACCTAGAACTAGTTGGTGGAAGAGGCAGATCTTGGTGTTTGTTAGGGAGAACTTTCAGCAATTGGCGTTGCCAAAAGTCTAACGGATTGCTTCTCATGAGCTACCCGTTACTAGAAGTGCTCAAATAGGGACTGGAAGAACCCTTATGTGGAGGAGAGGAGATTCAGCAATCAGAAGAAGGGACTGGATAGTAAACCTTTAAGATTCTAATCCATAGATTCCATGAGTCTGTTTCTTGGACATGTGACCTGTACGATTTCTTGGCAAAAGCTAGATACTCAAAACATGTTTATTGATTGAAGTAAATTAAGGACTGATCTGTCATTGCAGATTATTCTTTTATGGAATTTGCCACTGGGGCCAACTAATAATTTTTTCCAGGGTACTTGAAATATAGTTTGGTTGATAGGCAGTTCTTCAGGACGACCTCTGTAACATGAAGTACATGTGTTCCTAGAGCTCTGTACTGTCCTGTGTCGAGCACAGTTTACAGCTGTATTATCTATTACTCTTTTTTATCAGCCAGATGTAGTGAGAGTGAGAAGAGTGTGAAGCTGGCAGCATGTCTTGATATTCGTACTAACACCGAAACTGCAAATTCCAGCTACTTTTGATGGTACTGGTCTCATTCTTTCTGCTTTATAGTGGTTTCCTTTTATTCCTTTCTCAACTTGAGGCACGCTAGAGTTGGACAGAAAGTTCATTTGCACTGATTAATTCATAGTCATGATTCCATAAAGGTTTCCATAGATCTATACTACATGGCTGTGGAACACAAGGTACAAAATAGCAAAAACTGGTATTAAATTAAACTTTTTATCATGGAAAGCAAGGTAGAATGAACATTCTGTAAGATTTCTTAGGCAGTTCCCCAAGAACTGAACTGTATTGTAGCGTTGAGTACTACCCACCATGTTTCAAGCGTTAGGTAAGTGCCGGGATTTTTTATCTTTGTGATACTTTTATTTCCAGGTACTATACAGTTTTCTTTTTCTCTGTGTGCCATGACATACGCCATGAAAGAGACTGAAAAAACTTGCTTAGAATACGAAGAGTGTTGCTAAGGTCCTGGGGAAACAGCAAGTCATAGCAGCAGAGAGAAATTGGGCTTTGTTTTGGACATGAGTTAGCGTTGTTTAGGATCCTGCTGAAGTCGTGGGCTCGACTACTCCAGCCTTCCCTGTTCTGACTTCTCATTGTGCTTACTGTCATTCCATTCATTTACTTTGCTATTTTTATTACATATTCTGGTAGGTTCATTCGTTTCTATCCATCCTGTTGGTACTCATGGGATGTTTACTGTTTGTCAGAAGTATACAGGTAAAGGCACTCAGTCTAGTGAAGGGATACAGAAAAATGAACAGGCGTTATACTGAGAATTGCTATTAACAGTGGAAACAAGCTTATAATCTAATCCTTTCATTTAATAGAGGGAGAAATTGAGGCCAGAGAAGGGGAGTGACTTTAGCAGAATAAAACATACTAAATTTGTCTTATTTTAAAAAATGGAGGTGTAACATACTGTAAAATGTACTCATCTGAATTTTACCTATGAGAATGCTTGTGTAAACACCATAGTGATCAAGATATGTACACTTCCAGAACCTTAGAAGTTTTCCTGTTGCACCTTCCTAGTCGGTGTCCACTCTCTACTCTCAGAAGTAATACTCTTCTGACCATTTGATTGGTATTACCTCTTTCCGAAATTGATGTACATTGAGTCTGTACAGTATCTGCCCTTTTTTTGCGCAACATAGTATCTGAGAGATTCAGGCATTTTGTTGCATGCATTGGTAGTTTGTGCATTTAGATGTTGTATAGATTCTTTTGTATTATGCCGCAGTTTTTCCGTTTTCCTTTTGGTGGCTATTTGGGTTGTTTCCACTTTGGGGCTGTTAGGAATGAAACCTCTGTACACATTCCTGTTTATGTGCTTTAGTGGACATACACACTCACTTATCTTGTGTATATGCCTGGAGATGGAACTGCTGGGTCATAGGAGAGGTGTAGTTATGTTCAGCTTTAGTAGGTATTGCCAAATAGTGATTATACCAGTTTCCAGTCTCACCGGCAATGTATGGCAGTTCTTGTTGCTCCACATCCTCACACTTGGTATTGTCAGTCTTTTTCATTTTAGACATTCTGGTGAGAGTCTAATGATACTTCATTATGGTTTTAATTTGTATTTTCCCAATGGTTAGAGATAATGAGAACCTTTTCATGTGCTTTTTGGCCATTTGGATATCCTCATTTGTTAAGTGCCTATTTGGATCTTTTGCCTGTTTTTAAAAGTTGGGTTATTTGTCTTTTACTGACTTAGAGGATTTTATTATGTATTCTGAATGTGAGTCCTTTGTCAGATATGCATACGTTAGTCCTCCCTTATCCAAGGTTTTACTTTCTGTGGCTTTAGTTACCCACAGTCAACCATGGCCCAAAATATGAAATGGAAATTTCCAGGTGAACGCGTGCGCGCACGCACGCACACACACACACACACACACACACACAACACAACACACCCCACTGCTGGAGTTCTGGCTGAGATCACCTTGAATCTTTAGATAAATTTGTGAAGAATTGATGTTTTTATGATATGGAGGCTTAAAATCCATACACAGTGTATTTCTCCATTTATTTAAGTCTTCTTTGATTTCTCTTAGTGTTTTGTAGTTTTCAGGGCAGAGGTTTTACACATCTCTTTCTAGGTTGTTATTTCTTAATTTTAATTGTAGATTCTTGTGGATATTTTACACACATAATTACATCATCTGTGAATAGGTGCTGTTTTACTTCTTTCTTTTCATCCTTTATGCCTTTTTGGTTTTCTTGCTCTGTTGGACTAGCTGGGGCCTTCAGTATAATGTTGAATAGAAGTGGTGATTGTGGACATCCTTGTGTTGTGTGAGATATATTGAATTCAGAGGAATTTTCTCTTTGTGAACAAGGTAACATACGGGCTTACCTACTTCAATTGTTGACTGCTTTTACTTTTGTAGGCATGGCTAATGTAAAAGCAGCCCCAAAGATAATTGACACAGGAGGAGGCTTCATTTTAGAAGAGGAAGAAGAAGAAGAACATAAAATTGGAAAAGTTGTTCATCAACCAGGTAAAGTGAGTTTTTCAAAAATAAGTATCTAGATTGGTTATTTTGAGTAACATGCTTAATTCTATGCAAACTGATGCTAAATAATGCCGCAATTACTTTAATTAGTGAGTACATTATCTTTATAAAAGTGATAAAGTTTGGCAGTTTTGCTAGTAGATTAAAAAAACATCAAAGAAACAGCCATGCATATGGAAATGATTATTTAACTTGTGGCTGATGTACTTAGGGGTTGATGCTGTCTGTTGTTTTATAATAGGCAGGGTTAGTCAGCATATTGATTGGTAGAATAAATACTCAGAATTATCTTGATAGGCTGAAATGAGGCGCCAGCATCCAGGAGATAACTGTGGAGAAAGAAAGCAGCTTACAAAGTATAAGGTAGACCAGCATACAAAGAAGGATATAACTATGATCTAAGATTAGTGCTTTGGTAAATCACTTATGTGTATACATATCTTCACAGTGAGGGTACTTTCACAGTCTTTGGGAGAAAGATAGAAACACTTTATTTTTTCATAAGTTTAGCAGCCAACAGTGCAATATAACAGATTTTTAAAAACCAAAAACCTATTCCAGTCTTTAGTTGCAGCTACAGAAGTGTTGTGCATTCATCAATGTAGGTGGTTGCCCTGCTCTAATCTGTGTGTGTCTATACTGTTGTTTGCAGAAGCTGAGACTTGAAGGATTAAAATAGTTGTTTTTATTTGCATCAGGGACTGGTTTTGTGGAAGACAAAACCTGGGGTGGGGTTGAGGGGTGGCTGGGGATGGTTTCAGGATGATTCAAGCACATTACATTTTACTGTGTACTTTATTTCCATTATTGTGACATTGTAATATATAATGAAATAATTACACAACTCTTGCTTATGGTAGACTGCCAGTTTCTGAGTGGTAAATGTAAAAGGGAGTGACAATTTGAAAATTATCATTGTGTTTATTTAGGAATTCCCATTATAAAGAATGTTTTAAATTAGAAAACTGCACATTTTAAATGTTTTAATTAATAATGCTATGTAATAGCTTCCTAATTGGTATTTCTATCACACTTTCTCTTCATTCTAACGCATCCTGGTAAATTTTTCAAATATACCACTTTGGCTATCACTAGCCTTGTTCCAAAATTTTTAGTTTTCCTTTTGTCTATGGATATGCTCCTCTAATATTCTACAAAAAAAGCATGATTTTTTTGTTTGTTTGTTTTCTTAAAGTTTGGAGATTAGTGTGTTATAACGAAGGAGGTAAGGGAAGGCAGTGATAGGAATATTTTGAAACAAACAGTTAATTAATGACATAATGACAATTCTCCTTTTCTTTTTTTTTTTTCTTCTTTGAGATGGAGTTTCACTCTTGTTGCCCAGGCTGGAGTGCAGTGGTGCGATCTCGGCTCACTGTGACCTCCGCCTCCTGGGTTCAAGCGATTCTCCTGCCTCAGCCTCCCGAGTAGCTGGGATTATAGGCATGCACCACCAGGCCCCGCTAATTTTGTATTTTTAGTAGAGACGGGGTTTCTCCATGTTGGTCAGGCTGATCTCAAGCACCCAGTCTCAGGTGATCCACTCTCCTCGGCCCCCCAAAGTGCTGGGATTACAGGCGTGAGCCACTGTGCCCAGTTGACAACTCCTCTTTCTTCTCATTGGAAATTGTGGCAGCTCTGAGAGTTGGAGCATTCAGCCTAAAGACTTCTTAGTAAAATGTATTTATTTACATATATATGTGTATATATGTGTGTGTGTGTGTGTATATGTATGTATGTAGGTGTGTGTGTGTGTGTGTGTGTGTGTGTGTGTGTATATATATATATATGGAAAGAGTCTTGCTCTGTCCCCAGCCTGGAATGCAGTGGCGTGATCTTGGCTTACTGCAACCTCTACCGCTTGTGTTCAAGTGATTCTCTTACCTCAGCCTCCCAAGTAGCTGGGACTGCAGGCACACACCACCATGCCTGGCTAATTTTTTTGTTTTTGTTTTTGAGACGGAGTTTCACTCTTATTGCCCAGGCTGGAGTGCAGTGGCACAATCTTGGCTTGCTGCAACCTACACCTCCTGGGCACAAGCGATTCTCCTGCCTCAGCCTCCAGAGTAGCTGGGATTACAGGTGCCTGCTACCACGCCCAGCTAATTGACAGCTGGCTAATTTTTGTATTTTTTTGTAGAGACAGGGCTTTGCCATGTTTACCAGGCTGGTCTCGAACTCCTGGACTCAAGTGATCCACCCACTTTGGCCTCCCAAAGTGCTGGGATTATAGGTGTGAGCCACTGTGCCCAGCCTTACTAGTAAAATTTAAAGACTTGATGGGAGAAACAGTTCTTACAGGATTAAGTTTCATAGTTAGGCATTTGAAGTCCTTAAATAATCTAGCTTTGCCTTACCTAGAGTGGTTTTTCTGTGCTGGGAGTTGAGGATACATGGCTGAATACAGACTCTCCTCTCAAGGAGTTTATAATCCAGAAGGTGAGACAGATAAAGAAGCTTTTTGCTTTGTTGGTAGGGGGTAGAATGGAGGGAGAAAAAAATTTTTCCATTTGGAAGTGAATGCTGTTGTTGTCTTTCTTCTGTTACCATGCTGTTTATTGCTCTTTCCTGTGTAATGTTGGTGCCCTGTCTGTAAGCAGATCCCTTTTCACCCTACCACTCTGGGACTAATCTGTTTTGTACTTTCAGCGGTGCTGTGGTAGGCAAAATAATGGCCCCCAAAGATGTCCATGCCTTAATCACCCTGGAACCTATGAATATATTATCTTTATCATAGCAAAAAGGACTTTGCAGATATGAGTAAGGTTAAAGACCTTGAGATGGGGAGAATATCCTGGGTTATCCAGGTAGACCCAATGTAAGCACACAAGTTTCCTTAAAAGTGGAAGAGGGGCCGGGCACAGTGGCTCACGCCTATAATCCCAGCACTTTGGGAGGCCAGGGTAGATGGATCACCTGAGATCAAGAGTTTGAGACCAACCTGGGCAACATGGTGAAACTCTGTCTCTACTAAAAATACAAAAATTAGAGCCAGGTGCAGTGGCTCACGCCTGTAATCCCAGCACTTTGGGAGGCTGAAGTGGGTGGATCACAAGGTCAGGAAATCGAGACTAGCCTGGCCAACATGGTGAAACTCCATCTCTACTAAAAATACAAAAATTAACCGGGTGTGGTGGTGCGTGCCTGTAATCCCAGCTACTTGGGAGGCTGAGGCAGGAGAATTGCCTGAACCCAGGAAGTGGAAGTTGCAGTGAGCCAAGATCATGCCACTGTACTATAGCCTGGGCAATGGAGCGAGATTCCATCTCAAAAAACAAAACAAAACTAAAACAAAACAAAAATTATCTGGGCATGGTGGCGTGCTCCTGTAATCCCAGCTACTTGGGAGGCTAAGGCAGGAGAATCGCTTGAACCTGAGAGGCGGAGGTTGCACTGAGCCGAGATCGTGCCACTGCACTCCAGCCTGAGCGGCAGAGCAAGACTCCTTTTCTACAAAAAAGTAGAAGAGGAAAGCTGAGAGTCAGAGGGACATGTGATTATGGAAGAAGTGAGTGATGCCATGTGAGAAGCCACCATTGCTGACTGTGAAGATGGAGGAAGGGGTCATGAGTCAAGGAATGCAGGCAGCCTGTAGAAGCTGGAAAAGGCAAGGAGATGGATTCTTGCCTAGAGCCTCCAGAAAGGAACACAGCCCTGCCAACACCTTGATTTTAGCCTACTGAGACCCATGTCAGAATAAACTAGAGATCTGTGTGATAATAAATGTGTGTTAAGTCACTTAGTCTGTGATAGTTTCTTATAGCTGCAATGTAGCACTAATACAGGTACCTTGCACATGGCTGGGATTCAGAAATACTTGTGGAATTGCTAGGTTTTTTTTCTTTATGTTACTTCCTTTTCTTCTTTCCTCTTTAATTTTTTTTTTTAGATAAACATAATCAAGGTCTTATTTTGTCTTTTACTTAAATGTATTTATGTGAGGCATAACATACATGTGGATAAGCTAATAAAATAGAGGAAAATATATTGTTCTAGTCATAAAAAAGGAAACTTAAAGAGTTCATTTTCCTTTTCTTAGGACCTGTTATGGAATTTGATTATGTAATATGTGAAGAATGTGGGAAAGAATTTATGGATTCTTATCTTATGAACCACTTTGATTTGCCAACTTGTGATAACTGCAGGTACTTATTTTAGATGTTGTTCTTAATTGCTAATGTTTATGGGTAGGTTTAGGGCAAAACAAGTTATATCTGTTTGGATTTGATATTTTCTTAGTAATTATGATTTTTATTTTGGGCATTTCCTAAAATTTCTATGGTTTCTATTTTGCCAAATACAGTAAATCTGTGACTATTAAAGCTTATGATATACCCCATAAAATAGGAAGGATGGTTCTGCCATAGAAATTTCCTTTTCTTTTTCTGCTGGCCTGAGTTTTTTGTTTTTGTTTTTTAACATCTCTCAGTAGCAGGCTCCTAACCCTTCTCTTCACCCAGCCCTAATGATCCCTCTATTTCTTAATTATTCCAGGGTGTGTTACATCTTGGTCAGAGGACTGGGGCCTTCAGTGAGAGGACTGTAGCTCAGAATACCTTTTTCATTCATGTTTTGCTACCCTCATAAAGAGAAGAGATGAGGAAAAACCATATTCTTCCATTCTTTTTCTTCTAGACTTTATCCTTTTTTTATATCATGCAGAATAACCTTTCTCACTTCACATGGTTCTCCTCTCGCTACTGTTGACTCAGCCAGATGCTGTGCTGGTATCTTTTGCACTTTGAAGGTACTATCTTGGAATCTTAGTTGGACCTCTTACCTGCTCCCTGTGCTTAGTTTGTCCCTACAGCCCTCAATCAACTCCTCACATGCCTGAAGGACTCGACCTTTTAGAGTCCCTGCTGCAGACACTGGGAGCCATCGTGATTGGCTTGTTGCTGAGCGGAGTCCTGGGTAGATAGAGAGGGAGGTGTGGTCCCTGGTCTCATGATCAGATATATGGCTGGGAATGTTCCGGCACCACAGCTGGAACTACAAACTCATTTCCCACCGACACAGTGGTGAAGGTCCACAGTATTGTCATCATTCTCCTTAAAGGCCAGTATAGCTTTTGGGAACTGAAACACTACATAGAATTTTATTTCCAAGAGAAAATGGAAGCAACTATTGTACTGGTTTAAAGAAAGTTGTGAATATATTACCTTACCATAGCAAAGGGACTTTGCAGATATGATTAAGGTTAAAGACCTTGAGATGGGGAGATTATCCTGGGCTATCTAGGTAGACTGAATACAAGCACGCGAGCTTTCTTAGAAGTGGAAGAGGAAAGCTGAGAGTCAGAGGGACATGCGATTAATGAAGAAGTGAGTGGTGCAATGTGAGAAGCCATCATCACTGGCTGTGAAAGTGGAAGGAGGGGGTCATGAGTTAAGGAATGCAGGTGGCCTCTAGAAGCTAGAAAAGGCAAGGAGATGGATTCTTACCTAGTGCCTCCAGAAAGGAATGCAGTCTTGCCAACACCTTGAAAAGTCTGGAAACATTACGCTTTTATGTTTAGTCATAATCAGGAACACAGGCCTCCATTCTTTTTCAACATCGTCAAAGATGATAGTTTTAGTACCATGTAGTCTACATGTCTGATGTTAGTTTATACTTCTGAATTATTTAGCTTTCATACAGCTCTTCCCAGTTTTAACTTTTATGTGTTTGTGATAGAATCCTCTCATTGAACCTTTGATTTCTCCCCTCCCTGACCTGTACCTGCTCTTTAGTGTCTACCATTTCAGTAAAGCCAGCTTCATTCACTGGCTATGTCTCCACTCTCCTGTGTGCATTAATTCCAAACCCGTTTGGCTTTAGGTTCAAACCATATCCTGAATCCATCGGCATCTCATCCTCTCCCACTGCTGCCTTAGTCTAGGCCACCATCAGCTCTTGCCTGGACCACTGCCGTAGTGTTCTAACTGGTCTCTCCCCCACTACCCCTTTTGTACCCCTAGGGTCTCCTTTTCATATTGTATTTTGCTCAAAACTTTCTAGTGGTTTCTAACCATTGTCTTCACCATTGCTTGCAAGGCCCTGACTGTCTCTGACTGTATCTCCCACCACTCCTCACCATCGCTTACTGCAGGTCTTCTAGTTACACTGGTCCTCTTGCTGTAAGCTCTCTTTGCAAAATACACCCATGCCCTAGAGCCTTTGCCCTTGCTGTTCCCTTTGCTAGGAATGTTTTTTCTCTAGATAATATAACTTATCAGAATAAGTAAAAGATAAAGTATTTTTCCTTAGAATTCTTATGTTGCTAATTTAACCATGAGAGTTGCAGGAAAAAGTATTTTATATGTCCTTTTTGCTGTGTGTGCCCCTAAGTTGCTGGGCCATTTGCAAACTTAGTTTATTTAAAATAACTAATTTATATAATGGACTTAATCTGTTTTCAGAGATGCTGATGATAAACATAAGCTTATAACCAAAACAGAGGCAAAACAAGAATATCTTCTGAAAGACTGTGATTTAGAAAAAAGAGAGCCACCTCTTAAATTTATTGTGAAGAAGAATCCACATCATTCACAATGGGGTGATATGAAACTCTACTTAAAGTTACAGGTCTCTAATAAGTTGTGTTTATTATATTTAACTCTGGTAAAGTCTCAATAACAAACTAGTCATAATCAGCTTGGTTTTTGCTTACAGTGTGAAAAAACTCTTTTCTCTAGTTTTGCATATGCATCACAGTCATGTATAATGACATTTAATAACATGTTTTCTCATTTTGCTTTTGTTTTTTTTTGTCTTATACGATAAGGTCTCACTCTGTCACTCAGGCTAGAGTGCAGTGGTGAGATCATGGTTCACTGCAGCCTTGACTTCCTGGGCTCAGGTAATCCTTCCATCTTAGCCTTCTGAGTAGCACCTGGCTAGTTTTTTGTATTTTTTGTAGAGATGGGGTTTTGCCATATTGCCCAGGCTGGTCACGAACTCCAGGGCTCAAGTGATCCTCCTGCTTTGGCCTCCCAAAATGATGGGATTACAGGCATGAGCCATCATGTCTGACCTCATTTTGCTTCTAATATGGCACTTTGAAACAAACATGTTGCCATTGGGTGATGTTAAGAGTACAATTTGGAAACTAAAAAAGGTTGGAATGGGAGTCAGGCCCCATTTCCTTACCCTCTTTCACCTCCATCTCCCACCAAAAAAGAAATATTAAAAAAAAAGAAAAATTTCAGGAATTTCATAAATACCTAAAATCTAACTCTACCCATCTGGAATGCTAGCGAGTGTCCATATAGCTCTGTAATCTCAGAGCAGGTCTTCTCAGCTCCACTTGCTGCAGATGGGTTACAGGCGTGCCAAGATGGTGATCCACTTAGTGGCTAGGACTGCTAGTGCCCAGGCCAGTTTCTTTGAGTCACAAGCAGTCTCTTGTATCTACCTCAGAGTGGTACGAATATTGTAATATTCTTTTTGTGCTGTTAGCTTAAAATATTGGGAGGCATTGCTTTAGAGCACAGTATTGTAAAACAAAACATGTACTGAATTTCATTAAATACTAATATAAGAGTCTGTTGATTAGAAAATTCACTATTGTTTTATGTACCATTAAATATTTTTAAATGCCGCTAATTAAATCAACATACGCTTTCTTATCACTTGATGCTTTTATTTTATACTTGGTGAAATAGCACCAGTAGACTTTATTATAGTTTTTTGTCATATATCACAACTTTTGCATACATAAAAGGGAAAATGCAAGTGCAGAAGACTTATGATGGTATTCCTAAACTTTCCATTCAAAGTCCAGTTCTTCATCACTTTTTGACTCAGAGTTGTTAAAGTACCATTAAGTGCACTGGTGATACAGCATTTTCAGGGATGTTAAATTGTGGAAAACGTGATGTCCCAGAATATATGAAAAACAAGTATATCACTTGAATATGTAAGAAATTTGAGTTTGGCTACACTGATTAATATTATGGTCCTTTAACATATTGTGAGAGGTATCCTGAGCATAATCCTTAGTGGTAAATTCTCTTAAAGAGTAAAGGTATATAATGTAAAGTTTTAAAAGTAGAATGAAGACTTTTTACATCATTTTGGTACCAAAATTAAAAAAATACATATATCCTGCAGATCAGAAGTCAAGTCGATAGAAACAATTACTGATCTTGAAGGAGATGAGTAGTAGTAATTGGTAATTTCCTGCGGTTGGAGATTTTTTGGAGATGACCTCATATTTAGGTCTGATGTGGCTAATCTGTCAACAAACTGTTTCTTTGGTGAGCCCGCCACAGTTGATCAAACTCACTGACCACATGTACTTTTGATTCCTGTGACGATACAGTCAGAGGACAACTTTTCTCTTTATAATCTAATTCAGCATATGTTTACTGACAGTTGCATAGGTTTGGATAGATGTTTTATTAGAGTTGTTTCTGATCATTAATATTTAGAACCTTTACATTTCTCATAAGTATTTATAAATTTATACTTGAGTTAGATACTCTTTGGTACCTGTGGATTTGACAGTTATAACTTTATAATATTTTGCAAGTCCGAATCACAACTTACTTAAATATGGATTTTGTGTTGTAGATTGTGAAGAGGTCTCTTGAAGTTTGGGGTAGTCAAGAAGCATTAGAAGAAGCAAAGGAAGTCCGACAGGAAAACCGAGAAAAAATGAAACAGAAGAAATTTGATAAAAAAGTAAAAGGTAGATGGCCACATTTTATATCGTGAAGGATTGTGTTTTACCATTTTGCAAAAAGCCTTTAGCTAGATTCTTCCTGTTTAATGTTGCCAATAGATTGGAATGTGTTTTTCAGAGGTTGAAAAAAATGACTTAAAGTTTGCCTCAGTATGTTGGTCTTCAAGGCACTCAGCTCAAACCTCACGATACGACATTTCTGAAAAGCATTTACATCATCATCTTAAAGTGAATCGTGTTTTTATATAGGAACAGTGTGAGGATCAGGAGTGCTATCACTGGTCAAGGATTTGGCATCAATTAAATCTTAAGTATAATCAGTAGTGTTATAAAAAACACGCCCACCAACAATCTCCTCTAATTGCTTAAAATGAAAAGCCATGCCCTAAGTCTTAGTCATCTAATTCAGCAGCTAGAAGGAACTTTTATTTTATATATGACCAAAAGACCCAGAAAGGTGGAGTGACTTGTTACATAGATAGTTATTGGCAGAGTTGGGACTGGAAGCAGGCTTTTTTGACTGAAAGTCTCCGTGAAGTGGTCATTTCTCTATCCATGCATCTGTGTTTGCATGCATTCCCTTGTCCATCTATCTCTGCATTAATTTGTCCCTGTTATCCATCCAGGTATGTATGTCTGTTAAGTCTGTCTGTCTGAAATTTTCATCCATCCATCCATCAATGCATCCAGTGTTTACTAAGTGTCAACTATGTGCCAGGCACTGTGCTAACATAAATTCTGGAGTCAGAATTTGTCAGGAGAGAAACTTAAAATCGTGCAGGTGTGCTAGGTACCATGATAGTGATGAGCGAGCGGTGCTGCGGGAGCACAGTGGTCACTTTCTGCTCTATCACAGAATCCCTGAAAGAGCCTTAAAAAAGGAAACATCCATGTTCTTCATGCAGTGATTTTTTGCAGAGGCCCATTGTAGTGTACACTGTGTAGAGATAACACATACTTTATGTATATATTGAGTTTTATATATATACTAAATTAATTCATTGAAAATGAATGCCCTATCCATATAATTTTGCTTTTGTTTTTCATAATTGGCTTTGGAGTGGTTTGGATTGGATTAATAAGTGGTTTTGGAGAATGAATAAGATAAGATCAGATGTCTTAAAAACAAAAAAGCAAAATCAAAAATTGAACGTAAGCCTTCCTTGTTGTGAGGAACACGTTATTGTAATCCTTCTCATTGTGAGAATTTGTTTTTCCTTTGTCATTACAAGTGTAATTCAATTACAGTGTGGAAAAGTTAGAGAATTACAAAGAGCTCTTATCACATGATTTTCCTACTCAGAGACAATCATCAGCAACGTTTTAATTTTTGCTCTTCCTGTTCTTTTCTATCCTAAGATCCTTAAAATTTTTTAAAAATAAAAATGGAAGCACTATTTGACACGAAGTTAAGCCAGCAACTCCATGATCAACATCCGTATACACATCTTTTTATATAGTTACTTAGCAGTTCCTGAATCACAAGGTAAGGCACACATTCATGGCTTTGTAGAGAGGCTTCCTGTAATAAGTTGTGTCACCTAAGAACATTTCATTAAAGAACTCCCTAGAATTAGCCACTGCTGTATTGAGAGGATTTGGAAAGGGTTCTTATGAATTTGGCCCTTTAATCTTTTCAATGCTTTACACCAGTCCTTCCTCTGTTCCAGTAGCAAGGAGAATCTTGAAAGATAAAGTAGTGAAAAGGCATTTTAAGAGGTGTGAAAGAGAGGACAGAGTTATAGATTAGTTATATACTAGCCTAGGATTTTTTAACTCCAGCTACCTGAAATCACCTCAACTCTTACCTGTCTGCTGCCTCCTTAAACCATTTCCAGGTGGTATTTTGGTGCAGATAATAATATATGGATAAAATAATAAGTATTAATTAAAAACCTGTATCTGCAAGGTGATGAAATATTTTTTGAAACGAGGGCTGTCTGTACTTTCTTAGATACTAATTCTGTAGTTTGGTCACGGTGTCATCTAATGGTAACAAATTCCTGTAATTTGACAAACAGAATGAAAGACGATGGCATCCATTTCATCACATGCTTTTTTAATAAAAATTCTATGTGGCATATATATTATTAGTATGAACAGAACTCTTCAAAAAGATTTAGTTTCCATTGGTATTACTTTTTTTTTTTTTTTTTTTTTTTTTTCTGAGACGGAGTCTCGCTCTGTCGCCCAGGCTGGAGTGCAGTGGCAGGATCTCAGCTCACTGCAAGCTCCACCTCCCGGGTTCACGCCATTCTCCTGCCTCACCCTCCCAAGTAGCTGGGACTACAGGCGCCCGCCACCTCGCCCAGCTAGTTTTTTGTATTTTTTAGTAGAGACGGAGTTTCACCATGTTAGCCAAGATGGTCCCGATCTCCTGACCTCCTGATCCGCCCGTCTTGGTATTACTTTTTAAAGAAATATAAACTTTAATGTAATTGGCTTTTTTTCTCATTACATTAAATTGCTGCTGTTAATCACCAGATAAGCTACTGTCAGTTGTCCTCATTTTGAAGAGTTTGAACTTGCCCTGAAGTTTTTCATAGAGTTAGACCTCTTGGGTCTGGTTTCTTTTCCAGTTCGCTTCTTACTTGAATGAAGCATGTCTTTGAGGAAATTTTCCAAAGTGGTTACATGAGTCATATATTTTCCAAGTCTCTGCAAATAGCAATGTTTTTCTGCTTTTGTGCATATGAATACCTAAGTTCTGTAACATTACTCCACTGTCTTCTGGTGTTTAATGTTCAGAGAGGTCAGTGTGATGCCTTCTTTAATTATGGCTTCTTGTTGATTTACTTTAGAGGTTGTTCCCGCCTTCCTGAATAGGCCACAAAGGGCTGAGATTGGAGTAGACACTGTAGAGAGTAGACACAAGGAGCTTACTGTACAGTTTTCTCAGAGGCTCAGAACAGAGAGGAATAAAACCAAGTCTAAAAGTATTTTAGTTGAAAAGAAATTGGAACCTGGTTCCTCTTGGTCTTCTGATTTTGATCCGCAAAGAAGCTGACACAGTTTACTTCTTTATGGGAAGGTAAGAGATTATATTTACCTGCTTTGAGAATATGATCTTCTACTTTAGCAATTTGAGAATTGATCTTACTACCAAAAATAATTTTATAGTTTAAATAGTGTAAGGTGTGTATATATCTATATAGATCTATATCTATATAGATATATAAAAATAGGGTGAAAGACAAAGTGTTTTCTTGTTAGTGAATTCAAATTGTTAACGGATTTTAGATACAAGAAGGCAGAAACTGCTGTTCAGTTTTTTAACTGGTATCAAAACTCTGTGTCAAAATATTCAAAGGACCGATTGAGAGTATTTGGAAAGAGTTCTTTTGAATTTGGCCATTTCAGTGCCCTCCAGCAGTCCTTCCTCTTTTCCAGGAGCAAGGAGAGCCTTGAAGGATGAAGTAGTGAACAGGCATCTTAAGGCGTGTGAAAGGACCGTTACACATTACAGTAATCAGTTATAGATTACAGATATCAGTTTTGATTTCAAAACTTCAGGATGCACTGGCCTTAATATTAGATGGGAACGTTCACCTGGTTCAAATGTACAGAACTTTTTGGGTTTGCATGTCTACTCTATAAGTAAGGTAGAGATAAGGCTTTTCTTTAGTTATACCAGCTTTCTCTTATTCAGTACTGGTAGAGGTTACCCTTCTAAAAAAAGGAAAATAAATTCATTTTCATTATTTATTACTATGTACTTTCCTCCCAAAAGAGGTAGGTAAGAAATCTCCTATGGAGGCCCAAGTTTGTGGACATTTTACATTGTGGGTCTGTGGTTATATTTATGAATCTTTGGAGTCATCTCTCAAGAGAGTTTGGGAGACTCAGTTCTCTGTTACTCTGCTTCAGTTTATGGAGGACTAAATAAGACCAAAGCATCATATTATCTTTGTGTCTTTTCCTTGTAATTTTTTTTTCCTCCTGTTAACAGGGGGCACCATGAGTCAATACTTCCTGCCCTACCATGAAGCATTTAGTAGTATCTTGTCTGTCTCAGTTAGTTGTCTTATAAGTTGACCTCAGAAGCAGCATTGGGTTTCCTTGAATACAGACCACCTCTTTTGCAAAAAAGATGTTAAACTGAATACAAGTTTTAGATTGGTATAAAATAACATTTTCATTTAAAAAAGGATTTAGGAGAAAATTGTTTTGTGTAAAAAGTATAAGCAGTCCCTGAATATATCAGTAACAAGACTGGTTACCATGAAAATTGCTATAAATTTCCACAAGAGGCAGTCCTTTAGTTAATAGCTTCCAGCATTGTGAAATTCTAGGCCAGTGGAACTAGGAGGCTGGCACATGGTAAACCACTATTTTGTCTCCAGCTTCAATTAGGCCTTCAGCACTGCGTAGGACCTGCACCCATGCCAGGTTTCCTCGGCTTCCCCAAAGTCAATTTCAGACCTACAGACCTTCTTTCACTCTTCTAAAGCCTTATCTTGTTTTTACAACTACCTCCTTCCCATTCTCAGCAGTAGGTAGTTGATTTCTGCTTTCCTAAGTTTTAAGTTGTTAAATGAAGTAATGTGAAAAAAGTATTAATCTTAATTTTTTTTATTTACCTGATGTTGACATTTGCCATATTTACTTTTTCTTCCACACACATATTTTGCCAAGCCATTTAAGTTACTTGCAGAACTTGTGATTCTTACAAATACTTCAGCATGTTTTTCCTCAAAACAGTGGCATTCGGCTGGGAGCAATGGCTCACGCCTGTAATCCCAACACTTTGGGAGGCCGAGGCGGACAGATCACCTGAGGCTAGGGGTTTGAGACCAGCCTGACCAACATGGTGAAACCTTGTCTCTACTAAAAATACAAAAATTAGCTGGGCATGGTAGTGGGCACCTGTAGTCCCAGCTACTCAGAAGGCTGAGGCAAGAGAATTGCTTGAACCCGGGAAGTGGAGGTTGCAGTGAGCTGAGATTGCACCATTGCACTCCAGCCTGGGCAACAAGAGTGAAACTCTTGTCTCAAAAAAACAAAAAACAAAAAACAAAACAAAAAACAATGGTGTTCTTCTACATAGCGAAAGAACAATGATCATACTCAAGAAATTTAGCATTAATATAATGCTGCTGTCTTGTGTATAATTTAATATTCCCCAGTTATTTTGGTGTCCTTGACAGCTTTTTGTTGGATCCAGGTGCTATTCAAGGATGATGCATAGTGATATTTGCTTTTAAACTAGTCTCTCAGCCTTTTTTGTCTTTCACGACATTGACATTTTGCAGTGCCCAGGCCAGCTGCTATTCAGTGTGTCCCTCCATTCAGATTTATTAGCTGCTTGTTTCCTCACAGTTAGACTCAGGTCGAATGTTTTTGGTGGGAATACTTTCAAGCTGATGTGTTTGAGCATTTATCAGTAGACACATGGTACCAGCTCTTTTAAGGGAGTGGTAGTTTGACTGCTTAGTTAAGGTGGTGTCTGCCACGTTTGTCCATTGTAAAGGTACCCTTTATCCTTTGTAATTAGTGAGAATTCTAATACTGTGTGAATATCTCATTCCTTACCTTTCCTTAGTGGTTTTATTTAGTACACAGGGCTGAGTCTTACTTTAGTTATTATTGTGGTGGATATAAATGGTGATTTTCTATTTCTGTCACTTTCTGTAATTGTTATTTGGCTTTTGGAAAGAGGAGCTTTTCTCCTTTTAAAAACTTTTTTTTTTTTTTTTTAAAGCATCAGCTGGACTCATTGTTTCTTATTCTGAAGTCAATGTATTATAGTCCATTCCGGTCATGATTCATTTTGGTGCTGAAATTGTCCAAAATTTGTCCAGTAGAATCCCCTTCAAACTAGCTCCTGTCTTTTTAAACTATTTTGTGTGGAAATAATTTCAAACTTATAAAAACTTGCAAGGATAATAATACAAAGGGCCACTCATATATCCTTTATCCAGATTACCTACTGTTAACACTTTATGCTATTTGCATCATTTGCATGCTCTTTCTATACACATACAGTATTTTTTTTTTCTGAACCATTTAAGACTAAGTTGTATACATTACCACCCTTTACCCATAAATATTACAGTGTATATTTCCTAATAGGGATTATGTTTTGTTACACAACCAAAGTATATTGTTAACTTGAGTAAATTTAACATTGATTTAGTATTTATGTCTAATCTGCCCTCCATATTCTAGTTTTGTTAGTTGATCTAATATTCTTTTTTTTTTTTTTTTTTTTTTCTGAGACGGAGTCTTGTCTGTCGCCCGGGCTGGAGTGCAGTGGCCGGATTTCAGCTCACTGAAAGCTCCGCCTCCCAGGTTTATGCCATTCATACTACAGGCGCCCGCCACCTCGCCCGGCTAGTTTTTTGTATTACTTAGTAGAGACAGGGTTTCACCACGTTAGCCAGGATGGTCTCGATCTTCTGACCTCGTGACCCACCCATCTCGGCCTCCCAAAGTGCTGGGATTACAGGCTTGAGCCACCGCGCCTGGCCGATCTAATATTCTTTTTAGTGATTCCTTTCTAGAACAGAATCCAGTCTGGGATTGGGTATTGGCTTTAGGTCCCAAGTCTTTCTAAACTTTTCTGGGATATTTACACAGCTCTTATTTTTTTATGACATTGACATTTTTGAAGAAAAGTCTGCTTCCCCTGCCCTGCCTTTCAAAACATGCTTCTCACTTGGGGCAGTTTCTGGTGTGTCCTGCTAGCTGGATGTAGGGTATGCATTTCAGGCCAGGGACAATATGTAAGTGATGTGCTTTTCTCAGGGCCTCATATCTGGAGGCACTGATGTCTGTCAGCCCTCAGTGGTAATTCTGATTTTTGATTTGATAAGCAAAAAGAAATTGTATCCCCCTAGATTTAATATCCATCCATTGATGGTTCTTGCTAGAACCAGTCTTTAGTATGATGGTTATAAGAATTGTCTTCTAATTCCAGCATTCCTTCTGCATTTAAGCAGTTGGCAGTCAGCATTCTGTAACATCCTTTGCCCCATTTACTTATTGGTATGAATTCATTAATTTCTGTTTTTCTCCAGTGACTTTGGTTCTTTCTGTCCTTACTTTGTTGCTCAAATGGTCTGATTTGGCCTAGTGACTAGCTTTTGTATCTTTTGACATGTCATTTCCTTTTTTATTTTTATTTACTTGTTTACTTTTGAGACCTAGTCTCGCTCTGTCACCCTGGCTAGAGTGCAGTGGCACAATCTCAGCTCACTGCAACCTTCACCTCCCGGGTTCATGTGATTCTCCTGTCTCAGCCTCCCAAGTAGCTGAGATTACAGGCCTGTGCCACCATGTCCAGCTAATTTTTGTGTTTTCAGTAGAGATGGGGGTTTCACCATACTAGCCAAGGTGGTCTCAAACTCCTGACCTCAAGTTGATCCACCTGCCTTGGCCTCCCAAAGTGCTAGGATTATAGGTGTGAGCCACCATGCCCGGCCTTATGTCATCATTTCTTGAGCACTCCTGCTTTCTAGCACAACACATGCGTACCTGTATTTCTATGTCTCTGTCTATAAATGTATGTAAACCTTGAGTTTACACACTGATACATCCAGTTCTAAAATTTCATGGTTCATTTTAGTTTTACTTATACGGGCTTTTTGGATGATGAGAAACCTGGTGGCTCCCATGATCCTTAACATAGTGACTTGATCGAAGCCCTGTGTGTGACTAATTCCCATTACTGTTGCTGCCTCCTCTTCTGGAGGGAGCCCTCTTTTTCTTGGGCTCTCTCACCCTGCTGTGGATGCTTACTTGCTCCATAGGACTGGATTGTTCAGAAAGGGAAAGAAGGGTGAAAAAAACTCCAGACCTATCTATTTTAAAATACTTCCTTATATTCTGTTGTTTTTCCCTTTGAAACAGGGTCTCGCTCTGTCACCTAGGCTGGAGTGCAGTGCTGCAATCACGGCTCACTGTAGGCTCAAACTCCTTGGCTTAAGTGATCCTCCCACCTCAGCCTCCCAAGTAGCTGGGACTACAGGCATATGCCACCATGGCTAGCTAATTAAAAACATTTTTTTTAAATTTTTAAATTTTTTTTTTTTTAAAGAGATGGGGGTTTCACTATGTTGCCCAGGCTGGTCTTGAACTCCCGGGCTCAGATAATCCTCCCAAAGTGCTGGGATTACAGGCATGAGCCATTGCACCTGGCCCAAAATACTTCCTTCCTGGCACAAGTTTTTCCAGGAATGTCTAGTAAATAAATTAAAGATGTGGCTTTATTCTTACCATTAAGCCTGACACACTAGCTGAAGAGTGGGGAGAAAAAGTCAAAGTCAGTGTAAAACCTTAGGTTCAATTATGGCTAGAAAGAGTTTTACTATAAGTTTTTTTTTTTTTTTTTCAGAAAAGTTTTCTTTGTACCTCTTTTTAAGTACACATAATATTCAAATTAGGCAGAAAAGTTAGTTTAGCATGATTGCGCCACAGCAAAATTTTGTAGGATTTTCAGTGGGATAAGGTGGCCAGATGTCTTACATGAGAACCAAGTTGAAAAGCAGGTATTAGAATTCAAGTAGGCAACATCTTCCTTACATTATCTGAAACCAGGGGGCATCTGTGGAGTTCCGGTTAACATATGATTTTTTATTTAGAAGATATCCTAAGGTAAAATTTAAAGGAAGGAGGGCATTCCAGATCTGTATCTAGAAAAACCAAGGTCTTCAGAATATGAGAGGATACTGAAAGAAATGAAGAGTTTGGATGAACATTTTTTTCTTCTAGAGGTATGTGCACTGAAATAATGTCAAAGTACTTTTCATGCTAGAAGTATCCATCAACTATACAACCTTGGGCAACTTATAACTTCTCTGTGCCTTGGTTTTCTCATCTGTAAAATTGGAATAATTCTACTTAGCTTAAAGGGTTGTGAGGATTAAATGTATTTAAAGTGGTAAGAACACTGCCTTACACATAGCCCTGTGTTTTCATCCTCATGACATAAAAGCTGAAAATAAGATTCAAGTAGTATTTTGATACTACTTATAGATCTAAAATGGATTAGGGAAAATATGTGATTACTTGGTGTATATTGATTTTTATAGCTGAGATTATACAAGACAGCTATTATACTCTCCCTTAGGTAATGCCACTGTCAAAGACAATGATGAACTGTGTGGTAACTGGTGAGAATAGAAATGTAAAGTGTTGCTTTTTATTAAAATATGATTTACTTGGTTGCTTTCAAAGAACCCAATATAATTTTCTTTGTAAAATGATTTTGACAGGAAGTAGCAGAAAATGCTCCAAACATTAGAATATGACCAGTGTCCTGGCTTCACAGTTATCTTTGCTTAGTTTCCCAACCTGCAAAATAAAATCAAAACTCTGTGGTTCTTTCCAGCTCTCAATATTCTGTGATTCTTATTTTTAGCCCTCTTATAAGAACTTCAATAGACTTGAGGTCTTATTGCACAAGCAGTTTTTCTAAGATGAAAACATACCAGCATAGTGGTAGAGTTCTCTACTTTCTAGTTTTCTTGCAAAGCTTGACTTGATGCTTATTGACGTAGCTCCTGACAAGAACTTAAAAATACTTTTTCTTATTTCAGCTGACTCATTTTCCTACTATGGCATTCTGTTATCTGAAGTCAAACATACCTGAATGTGTCCTATTTTGTTACTCAACTCACTTCTGAATATGGTTCCGTTTTGCATACCACCAACCCACATAACCATTTCTGAATCTCTTGTTTCACACTGCTCCAGTGAAAACTTGATTCACAGGCCAAACTAGTGAGGTAAGAAAGTAAGTTTGCCAAGTTTGTATAATCAACTTTGTTATAAAATTAAGGTAAACTATATATGGTTTAAATACACATAGACACACACACGTACATTGCCGAAAGCTTGATGGATTTGCATTTTTGGATTCAGCTGAATAGCACCACTGAAAAGATGACTTTTAATTTTTTTTTCTCAGAATTGCGGCGAGCAGTAAGAAGCAGCGTGTGGAAAAGGGAGACGATTGTTCATCAACATGAGTATGGACCAGAAGAAAACCTAGAAGATGACATGTACCGCAAGACTTGTACTGTGTGTGGCCATGAACTGACATATGAAAAAATGTGATTTTTTAGTTCAGTGACCTGTTTTATAGAATTTTATATTTAAATAAAGGAAATTTAGATTGGTTATGTTCAAAATTCAAAAAAATGCAGCGTCTTCATAGATGAATGAAATCCTTGTATAAGTAATGCTTCAGTAAGAATTATGTATGTTATGGCTTAAAATTAGCACATTTCAGTGAAGGTCGCCTGGCCTGGTTGTGTGCAGAATGTCATGTCTGCGGTTGCTTTCTTACAACAGAGATGGGAGCTGAGTGCTAGAGTAGGTGAAAAAGTGGTAGGTCAGCTACAAATTTGTGGACAAGATACCAAGGCAAACCCTAGACTGGGGTAGAGGGAAAAGGTTTCAATAAAGGCCACAGCTGGCTGAACTGGATTCTTAACCAGGAAACAAATGGTGGTGTACCACTGTACCCCAGGTTCTGGTCATGTGTTTTTTAGGACGATTTCTGTCTCCACGATGGTGGAAACAGTGGGGAACTACTGCTGGAAAAAGCCCTAATAGCAGAAATAAACACTGAGTTGTAGGAGTCTGATGTTTTCTGTACTCTTGGGGCCTCTATTGTGGGCCTTAACATTAGTCTAGATAGCTTTTTAAATGTTGGATTAAAGTGGAAAAGAGCTGTTTTCATGGTTGAGTGTCTGACTGTTGATCAAAGAAGGCACTGATGTTCATTGTTAAGTAGTGCTAACATTTACTGAGCATTTACCAACCAGGTGCCAGGTGTGCACCTAAGTGCCTTAGGAGTATGTTCATTTAGTCTCAGGCTTGCTTCCATGCTGCTTTCAGACTTCTAAGGAAAGGAAGTGACAACCCAATCTCACATCACCACAGGCATGTGCATTAACTTTAGTGAAATTTTCCCGTATCTTGTCAAAACAATTACTGGGTCTAGGGATTTTTTTTTTGACAAAAACAAATTCCAGTTAAAATGACTAGATATTTTCAAATTGTTTGACATGACATTTTATCCTACAAATAGAATAAGAAGTTTAAACATTTGTTTTTTCCTCTAGTGGAGATGCTTGGAGAAAGGCTAAGTTGAAAAAAGTCATGTCCAAATAATTGAGACTACACAGAAATGTTTATGTATTTTTCAAGTTTGATTTTTTAAAACACTTTCACACTCGATTAATATGTGCTATGCTAAATATTACAGCTCAGTAAAAACTGATTCTGAATGGGCAGCAAGATGTGTCTGGGGAAAAGAGCTTTCAGCTTGATGACAACAGAGTAACTAGGGGTTCAGGTTGCTGTAAGAGCATTGTGGGGGGAAAGGAGCTCTTGGACCAAGTGGATCTAGGTTCAGATTCCACTTACTAGCTGTGGACCCTGGGTAAATTACTCCAAAAGCCTGTTTTTATCTGATTAAGAGGGCATAATCATCTCTCAAAGGATTGTTTGAAGTAGTTAATAGGGTGAACCTATAGCACCTGGCACATAATAACCACTAGTTAAAGAGCATGTATTATCAAGGCCACTATATTACAGAAAATAGATCTGTGTGGTTAAGGGATGCTTCTATTCACCCTTTACACCCTTATCAATCAGTTTAAGACAATCCTGGTATCCAGACATCACTAACAGCTAAATCTGCGCTACACAGGTTGGCAAGGCCCCTTCTTCATCTTTCAAGTGTAATTATAAATTAGGAAAACAGTATGTTTACTTTGACAAAAGCATGTTAAATTGCACCAACACAATTTAACAGAGCATTTATTGCAAGGTATGATGTACAGTGACATGCCATCTTTTGTCTGTACGAACTTCATTAGTGGGGACAGCAACTGTTGAATGTTTGCTCTTACACACCTTTATTTCTTCAAAACTCAACTCCTAGTTCAGTTTTTCCATACACTTAAGCTGCCAGACTGGGACAGAGCAGGATCACATCAGCGAACAGCTGTTAAAAGCAACCATTATACATGAAGAGAGGACCAAGAGAAAAGAAATTAAAACCTACAAACATAACTAGCCACACTTTTCAGTACATTGTGAAAAGATTACAAAGCAGTTTCGAGTCAAAGTTACCAATCCCTTAAAGGTTATCCTTTGGTTTTTTGAGACAGGAGTCATTTTAAACTACAGTCGACCCTTGAACAACATGGGGTTAGCAATGCCGACACCCTGCACAAAAATTTGCATATAACTTTTGACTCCCCCAAAATTTAACCACCAATAGCCCACTGCTGACTGGAGACTTAGCAATAACAGTTTATTAACTCATTTTGTATGTTATATGCTATATATATATATATATATAATTTTTTTTTTTTTGAGACAGAGTCTTGCTCTGTCACCCAGGCTGGAGTGCAGTGGCACGATCTTGGCTCACTGCAACCTCCACCTCCCAGGTTCAAGCGATTCTCCTGTCTCAGCCTCCTGAGTAGCTGGGACTACAGACACATGCCACCACGCCTGGCTAATTTTTTTGTATTTTTTAGTAGAGACAGGGTTTCACCGTGTTAGCCAGGATGGTCTGGATCTCCTGAACTTGTAATCCGCCCGCCTCGGCCTCCCAAAGTGCTGGGATTACAGGAATGAGCCACTGCGACTAGCCCATATACTATATTCTTATGAAAATACAGAAAAAATAAAATCATAAGAAAAAATATATTTACTATTTAATAAGTAGAAGTGGATCATCATAAAGGTCTTCATCCTCATCATCTTCATGTCGAGCAGGCTGAGGAAGACAAGGGGCTGGTCTTGCCATCTCAGGGGTGGAAGAAAACCCATGTGTAAGGGGACCACACAGTTCAAACCCATGTTGTTCAGGGGTCAATTGTAATTATATATAATTACATAGTTTGTGCTGTGCTTAAGCAATGGGAAGGAGAAACAGTATAAATGAGAATATTTAGCCAAGAACCTGGTTTTAGTTTTACTAACCCACCACGCAACCTGGATTTTTCTGAATATTTTGTATTTTGTCTTAAATAGTATGGTATTTAAAAAGACCACATTCTGTAGCCACTCAAATGTATGGTAAACCAAAGTGAAAATATATCAAAATATGCAAAACACTTAATGCATCATCAACTTGGGATGTAATAAGAAAAAATTATACCTATTTTGTGCAAATGCACACCACCACTACCAGTAGTTGTAGGATTACTGGTAATTTTCTTCTAAGGTTTAATGAAAAAAGTCTAAAAATCCTCTAAATTTGGAATGTCAGACAATTCCTCATACTTGTGTATTATTTTACAAACGGCTGTCATTTCAGCATCAACACCATATAGGAAACAAGCTCAGGACTTTGTAGTTTTTTGGATCAGGATCCATATAAACAAAATCTAAACTCACATCTAATTCAGGGTATGGTTTCAGTCAATCTGACCACTTCTACATCCACTTTAGTATTCTGTAACTCACTACAAGACCTTGGACAAATAACCCAGAGGCTAGAGGAAGTGAGTAGATGCTCTAAGATAATGGTGACCAAACCTGGAATCACCTGGGGAAACTAAGGATTACTGAGGATGTCTGCATTCCACCCTCAGACAGTGGTTTACATTTCAAAATAACGTGAAAGATTCCCAGGTGATTTACATTAAGACAAATTTGAGAACTACTCTTCCAACTAGTAACACTTTTATTACTAACAAGTTGTGTCTTAAGATACTACTTAAAAATACTTTGAAGAGAAAATTTCAAATGGAGAACACCTTCAGTAAGAAACCAGTTTTAGAGTAGAGTGAGATGATAAATCATGAAATGCCAAAGTTTAAAAACCATACTTTTAGTTTTATTTCAGCCATGTTAAGTTATCCCCGAGCTGTGAAAAGTTATGCTACTGGGTAGCTGGGTAAACCCATCAGTTCTATATACTATGTAAGGTTGACCTCTAGTGTTTCACATACCTCAAACCAATTATTTTGTGCCTTAAGGAGAAAAAAATACCAAACTGATCACAGAGAAGTTGTATCTGTCACATATATAATACATCATGGTCATCGTCACATTACTGCCATTAGGACGTATTTGCTTTTCAGGGCAATTAAAAGTAATGCCATGTTATCCACTGTCCTCTTCCCCCTTTGTTTCCTTTAAGAAGTGAAAAGATACTACAAGAAAGCAAGCATTCAAACCATCAAAAAATAAGACAAATTATTTTAAGATATTAAAAAAAAACTTGATGAAAAAACGACCCTTAGGCCTGCAGGGCACAGAACTGCTGGAACACGGCCAAGATATGAGGGTCTAATTCAGCAGTGAAGAGGAGGTTCTCCAGGGTCACCATGTACTGCTGGATTATCTGGTGATGCTGTGGACACAGAAAAGGGGGTAGTTAGGTCAGGAAAAAGCACATAAGCAATCTTGTTGAACATTTCCTTCAGCAGCACACCCACGCTGCAGAATGATGAAAAAAAGGAAGGGGAAAAAAAGTGCTAATAGGAATAATGGACCCCTAAAAGTCCCTAACATTAACAACAACAACAAAAAAAGAAATGAAACAAATGAATGCTCAATAGCTTTTTAAAAAATCCAGTTCTTACCAACTTCATGTAAATAGAATTCATGATTCAAGGCAGTGGCAGCAGTGCCTGCTTGCTACTAGTACTATTACAGACTTGACTCAGCTGGCTCACTCCCCAATCAGGGCATAATACATTATGACTTTTTAAAAAGCAGCCAGACAAGGACTAACTGGAAGATAAAGAGTCAGAAAATGAAATACACTTTTTTCTATGTGTTCCTCTATAAGCCTTGAAAACACTCAGAGATTCCTGTAGGACTAGAGACTGTTAAAGCTTTTAAAACTGGCAGTAACTAAAATCAGAGGGAATCCCTATTTGGAGGCTCAAATAATTGAACTTAGAGTGACTTCTACATTAATCATTCTTCTAGAATGAACAAATGAAGATTTAGGGGAGTAGTGTCTGAAGACACAATGAATTAGCTCCACTCTCCTATATACCTTTAACTTAAATCTAGGTGAGAATAGGTGCTGGCATTTTGCTTTTGCAGAGGGACCCTTGGGAGCTTACCTTGATTCTATGTACAATTTACCACCTGAATCTTGGATTTTTAGGGACTTATAAATCCAATTACTGTCCTCTTGATATTTTTGTCCTCTACATTTCATATTACAGCTAGGATCCCCAGCACAGAAAATGGTAATTAGGAGACTGCGCACCATGGCTCATGCCTGTAATCCCAGCAGCACTTTGGGAGGTGGAGGCAGATCACCTGAGGTCAGGAGTTTGAGACTAGCCTGACCAACATGGTGAAACCCTGTCCCTACTAAAAATACAAAAATTAGCCAGGAGTGGTGACGGGCGCCTGTAATCCCAGCAATGTGGGAGGCTGAGGCAGGAGAATCACTTAAACCTAGGAGGTGGAGGTTGCAGTAAGCTGAGATCGTGTCACTGCACTCCAGCCTGGGCAACAGAGTGAGACGCCATCTCAAAAAAAAAAAGGTGAGGCGGGGGTGTGTGGGGGGGGGGTTGTGATGCGATTAGGAATCTAAGTGGTATAGAATCAGTTTAAGCCTAAATATTCTGATGAGCAATGGTAGCAGCAAATGGACATGAGCTAAAGGGTCTAACAGGTACTACATTGCCTCCTAACAAATTTGACAAGGATTTTTTTTTTTAATGAAAAATCTTTGTGGCTGAGAATAG